GGACGCGGAGAAGTCCACTCAGAAAGGAGTGCTGCAGTCTGAGCGGCTCTGGGACATTGTTGGGGTGTGGTTTGCATTCCTTTTAAACCACAAAGGGTCATGTCCTGGGGGGCTGCGGCGGCCGAGGGCAGGCTCTCCCAACCTCAGCACCACTGACACTTTGGGCCGGGTCCTCCCTTCCTGAAGGACTGTCCTGTGCATTGTGGGGTGTTCGGCTGCACCCCGACCTCAGCCCACAAGATGCCATGTGCATCCCCTGCAGTCGTGACAACCACAAACGCTCCCCGGCATCACCAAGGCCTCCAGTGAGGACCAGGGGCTGGAGTAGGAGGCCGGGGGCACCTTGACGGCGTGACCGTGAGCACCCTCGTTTAGGGACTCAGCCCACTTCCTCCCCTGCGAGCCCACCAGGCACCGGCCGCCCCTGCACCGTGTGGTCAGTCCGGGGAGGCCACAGCATGTGACCTCGGCTTCTTGCAGGTTCCAGTCTCCAACCACCGCAACCCTCTGCTGGACCTGGCTGCCTACGACCAGCAGGGCCGCAGGTTCGACAACTTCAGCTCCCTGAGCGTCCAGTGGGAGTCCGCCAGGCCGTCGCTGGCCAGCATTGAGCTCGACCTGCCCATGCGGCTGGAGGCCCAGAGTGACCAGAGCGGCCAGAAAAAGCTGCATGGTGAGCGGGTGGACGAGCCGGGGCTGTGGGGAGCATGGCGGCTGCGGGCTATGGGCTGGGACCCCCCGCCCAGGACTAATGCTCAGAGAGCAGCTACCTCCATTAATCTCCACACGTTCGGTGAGGTAGGAGCGGGAATCTCCCTTCAGAGGTGGAGAAACAGGCTCAGGGCGAGTGGCGGGTGAGCTCACACCCCGCCTTGTGCACAGGTCCGCCTGGCGCCAGCACCCGCTGAGCCACGCTGCCGTCCAAGTCCCCGGCAGGCCGGGTGCGAGTCCGCCTCCTCCAGCGTCTCCGAGGAGCTCCGGGAACATGCCGGCGCCTGCGGACTCTCACGGTGCACGCTGGGTGCACACCGGCCACCTGCCTCTAGACAGGGGCGACTAAAGCTACTGGCAGGCAGGGCGGGAGGGGCTGCTTCCCTGGCAGCAACGGGCCAAAGTTCAACGTGGGTTTCTCTTCCCGCGCTCAGGTCTGCAGGCCATTTCGGTTCACGAGGCCTCGGGCACCACCACCATCTCTGCCACCGCGACTGGGTACCAGCAGTCCCACCTCCATGCGGCCAGAGTGAAGCAGCCGGTACCAAGCGGGGCCCCCAGGGCGGGCAGTCCCCCCGATTCTCCTGTTCTGCCCGGCGTCTCAGGGTCCTGGGCCCCTTGCTGGGCCGCACCCTGGTCACCACTCCTCTCCCTGACAGGGGTGCCTCCTGCCGGCCTCTCTGCCTCCGTCTCCCCTGCCGCATGCCCTGCAGCAGGGACTGGGGGGACCTGGCTGACAGGCAGAGGGGCCCCGCCACCCCATGCCTCGGGGGGTCAGGCCTCGGCGCAGCCTCCGCTCCCACATGCTCTCTGTCCTGCGGGCTCTTCTCTGTTCACATTGCTTGTTCCTCACTTCCTGTGGCCTCTGCTCACCTGAGGGCCCCCCAAGAGCCCCCTCCCATCTCCTTCCCCTTCGTTGGCCTCACAGTCTGACTCCTGCCGTCCATGTCCAGTGGTCTCCCTGGACTGACCCGGGGCAGAAATCAGAGACTCACAGGGGCGCCAGCCCGCAGGGCCGAGGGCTGGGCTTGCTGTCCTGCACCCCCGCCTTGCCCCAGGCCCCCTGCCTCGCACACGGCACCACAGCTGCCCGTCGGCCGCGTGCTCCCACTTTCCTGGGGTGCGTGTGGACCGTCCGCGCTGCTGTGCGCCTGGCAGGTGGGGTGGGGCCCCCACCTCGGCAGGAAGACGGGAGGCCTCAGAGGGATGTGGCCCCTTGTCTGGGCTCACGGTGGTGTGACTGGGGCTTGTGTCCCTGACACAGTGAGCTCCCTGGGGCGACACCAGCACCTGGGGCCCCAAGTCCTGCTCTTCAGGGGCGCAGGCTGGGGGGCGGCCGCCTGGACCTGAGGGTTCTGACCTTGTCCCTTCAGCACGACGCCCTCACGCCCGTGTCGGCCTCCGTCGAGCTCGTCCTGGTGGAGGACGTGCGGGTGCGTCCGGAAGAGGTGACCATCTACAACCACCCCAACGTGCAGGTACGGCCTCCCCCCACCCCCCGGGCGCGCCCCTGGGTCCCCTCGCCTCTGACGCCAGCCTGGCCCCGCCCGCAGGCCGAGCTGCAGGTCCGGGAAGGCTCCGGCTACTTCTTCCTCAACACCAGCGCCGCGGACATCGTCAGGGTGGCCTACCAGGAGGCCAAGGGCGTCGCCACGGTGAGTGTGGGCCCACCTCCACCTTCCGTCTAATTCGGATGGATGGTGTTTCAGAAGCTGGTGCCTCCGACAAGATGAGCAGGGTCTTGAGATGCTCCGACTCACTGTTTGCCAAACTCCTGTTCGGCCTTTGTGGTTTTCACTCCATGTCCACAAGCAGCCTGCACTCTTAGCTACCTGATGGATTCCTTCCAGTCAGCCTTTCCATCAAGATTAAAATAACAGGACGTGAGGGCCACTGTGAGGCCATAGAGAAAAGCGCGCTAGGAGAGGCGTCAGCGCTTTCTCTGCCTCCCCGTCCTCCTCCCCGACCCCCCAGCCGAGCCCGCGGTGGAGGAGCCGCGCATCGCGCCGTTCAGGCTCTAGTCCTAGCTTCGTTTTCCTCTGAGCTGCTCTGTAGGCTGGCTGCCTGTCCGCATGCAGTCGTTTGTACTCGGCAGTCCTCTCCTTGGGGAGCCTTTGGGTTGTTTGCATCTCTTTACTTTTTAAGCGTAGCCCTCTAGTTGCAGCAGAGAGTGAAGAGTAAAGCAGACCCCCACACGCTGGCGCCCTAAATGCCTGCGTGTTGGCAAGTGAGTTAGTACGCAGCCGTGAAAACGGAGCTTTCTCTAAAAGGAAACTCTAGCTACCGGAAGTCACAACCGCAGGCTGCCTAACCCAAGGTGCAGTGTCCTGAAATCGCAGCCCTGCTGTTGCCTTTGGACTGTTCTGAGCAGATGTCAGGACCTCTTGGGTTTATTGCCATAAAGCAGAGCAAGAAACAGCCACCTCCCGGCACCCGTGAGCAAGTGTGTGTTGTTGGAGGGAGTCTGAGGGCCGCCGGGGGCCTGAGGTCGTAGGAGGCTCGTCCCAGGCACGTCTGTTCTCTCTGTAAAAGAAAGAGTAACTCCCAGCCGTTCCTCCCCCACATAAACGAGTGTTCATGTCAGATCCTCCGCATGAAAGGGAAGACTTCAAGTTGTAAGTAATTCTAGCTGCTTGCAGTCTGCCTGCTTTCATTTACTTCTGGAGATTGAAAATATAAACTCCTCTGTTACCTAGAAGAGGGGTTTCAAGCTCAGGAAAATGTGTGCATTGCCAACAAAACTTCTACTCAGATTTCCCTCCCGCCACACGTTTTGAGTAAACCTTGAGGATGCATCTGTGGCCAGAGAGCCCCTTCCTCCAAGAGCAAGGGCTCCTAAGATGCCGTGATGGACTAGGCTGCTGCCTCAGGTAGTGAGCCCTCTGTCTCTGGAGGCATTCAAACAGCAGCTGGGGAGCTTGTCTGAAAGGCTCAAGGAGGGATTCTGGCATCAGAATCAAGCTACCCCAGACCTGTGAGGCCCTGCTCAGCCCTGTGATGTGCAGCCCTGTCCGCGGCAGGCTCTGGGACTCTCCTGGCCAGGACAAGTGTGACGTCCTGTTTACAGATGGTCCCAAAGAGCTACAGCAATTTTTGTCTGATCTGTGGACTGGCCTTTGCTCACGTGGCTTGTCTTCCATAGCTCTTGATGAGCGGGGCGAGTGCCCCCCCGCACACGAGCCAGAACACGTCTGGGGTGGGGTGTGGGAAGTGCGGCGGCACCCACGCGGCAGGCCCCGCCAGGATCCTTTTGCCCCAGGAGGTTTTCTGGAGGCTCCTTGGCCCCCGCGCCTCTGCTTCCCCTCACCGTGGCCTGTGCGGAGACCTCTGTAGCTCCAGGTGGAACCGAGTTCTGGCTCCCTCTGTGTCTTCTGCGAAGTGCGGGAGGAGTTTTTCAGAGTGATGACAGCCGGTGACGGGTCCTCGCGGCTTCTCTCCGAAAGCTGTTTCTGAAGGACGTTTACACATTTCTTTGGCACTTCCAGCTGCTAATTAGCAGCATTCTCATTTCCTTTAATCACAGAGACAAGGAACTCACAACAGGGCTTCAATTAGCTCAGGGAAGATGTTTCTTTCTTTCCTGCTGCTGTCCATTCAGATGCAAGAGTGGCTCGTGGGTGTAAGTCGGCTTCCGAGCACCTCAGGAAGGGGGCCTGGATCTCCCGCCCTGGGCCGCTGTGGGGCTGGTGACGCCCGCACTGCACTGCACAGAGGGCCCATTCTGTTCACATGGCCTCCAAGCGCTCTGCACGCTCTGTCTCCTCTTTGGCAGGCCCACGCATGGGAGCATTTACCTGATTTGAACTCAGAGTTTCTTTCTTCTCGCCAGTTCCTTATGTTTCAAAATAAGCCCCAGTGGAGGGAGGGAGCCCCCTGTGCGCCGAGCGCTCGCACCTTTCATCACTGGGCTCACTCTGCAGAGATGGGGGCCTGGCTCACGCCGGGCTGGTCCAGGCACCGGGGACTCAGGGATGAGGGGTCAGATGGGGCCCCTGCTCTCGGGAGAGCATCTCCTGGGTCCTGGTCGTGTAGCCAGCCCTGGTTGTGCACATCGAGCAGGTGCATCGGGAAGGGGACCCTTCCTCTACATGGGGTGAGTGGCAGGGGGAGCCGGGCCATGAGCTCAGGTGAGCCCTGCTGTTTCCCTGAGAATGGTGGTGGATGGAGGTCCCAGCCCCCAGCCTGGCCCTGTGGGAAGCATCAGGGCTGGCCGGGGCCCTGGGTGAAGCGTCTCATCTCAGTGCCCGTGATTTCCGTGTGGCCCGGGTCACCCCCACTGGCCTCGAGGGTGTCTGCTGGGGGCACAGCCTGGCCGCCACAAGAGGTTGATGGGCACACATGGGAAACAGAAGCTGACTGCACTGCTCACATTCAGACGTATCGGCAGGGTCCTGACTCTCCTACAGATGCCACCTGCCAAGGGACACGTGCCAAGTGTGATGCCAGGGAGGCAGGAGCAGCGGTGACGTGGCAGCCTCGGGGCCCAGCGGGTGTGGGCGGACGGCAGGTGGGAAGAGCTGCCTCTGGCTCCACATGCAGCATCTGCAAGGAGATGAGAGGACAGGACCCTCCCTCGGCTCTCAAGTGTCCCTGTCACCACTTCAGAACGAGAGCTCACTCTGGACGTGGGTTTGCCTACCTTCCCCCCTGCACACGTGTCCCCTGCAGGTCCGTCAAAAAGCAAGAGCGTCTGGAGACTGGAGGAGCAGGGGTGTGAGCCAGTGGGGAGTGGGCCTGGCCCCCTCGATTCCTGCAGACCAGTGTGTCTCTGGAGTGGCCGGTGGACTCGCCCTTAAAGTGCTGCTCACTGTCCAGTGGGCCCGAGGGGGCTGATGTGTGGGGACAGCAGCCCCTCCATGGGTGACCCCTCTGCTCCACCACCCGGAAGGCGGCCTGACGTCTAGCTGCCGGAGAATCCAGTGAAAGTGGAATTGATTTCCCTGCCGCCAGTCATCTTTTTGTTTAAAATGTGCAAAATGGCTCTTTGGAAGGAGAGAAGGAAGCGAGAACGCCTCCTGAGCGCCCTGCGTGGGTCTGTCCGCGGTCGGCGCAGCGGCCTGTGATTTCTCCGCACCGTCAGGGCCGCTCCCCGCGGCAGGAGCTTCTGCAGGAGAGTCAGATCGGGGCCTCGGACCATGTTCTCAGAGGAAGCTTCTTTCTGTAATTTTTAAGTGGCTTCTCTCTGGGGGACGTGTAGTAAGCCCAGTGACTCGTCCTCTACAAAGCTGGAGGCCTGGTGGCCCCCAGCCCTCAGTCCTCAGTGTGTTCGATACCAGGCTGGCGTAGCCAAGGCTCAGGTCCCGCCACCGTCTTCTCAAAGCGCCCGCATGATTTCCACTCTGGGATCTTTATAACCGACTTGAGTCGTTGTGTGGAATAAGCCAGGCGCCCTTCACCTGTGTTGGTGTGCCCTCGAGCCCAGTGATCCTGGCCAAATTCTCAGCCCGGCCAAGCTGCCAGCCCTCCGTGTCCCCGACCAACTGTGAGCGAGGGCCTCTCGGCCCCAGCATCTTCCTGCCAGGCCCCCACAGCCTCCCCTGCCCGACAGTTCCTCTCTGGCTGCTGGTGGCCTCCAGCTCTGGGAAGTGGCCAAGTGTGGGAGAAAGCCCTAAGTTGGAGGCTCAGGCACTGTGTTCCCTCCCCAGCGCCACCCTGCAAGGCTGGGTTCCCATACGTACATTGAAGGCGTTGGACCAGAATCAGCACTTCCCAAAGAGATGAGAGTACCTGGGGCCTGCAGACTTCTTTCAGGATTCCCAGGTCTTGTCAAAGCCAAGACTGGAGCTGAGCAGGCTGCAGCATCCAGCCTCTCTGCGTTAACTGGCGACTCAGAGCTGTGCCCTGGATCTCAGTCTGCTCAGCATACTCTCCCCATCGTGTCGGGGGCGAGTCTGTGCCAGGTGCTTGCTCGGTCCTGAGGCTGCGGGAGGGGAGAGGACAGCCTGCAGGGAAAGGATGCGCAGGAAGGTCTGCATCAGAACGGAGTGACAGGTCCAGGAGAAGCGAGCAGAGGGGGGTGAAGGTCCCGACCGTCCTGCGTCAGGGGAGACTTAGCCGAGGGGGACACTTGGATGTGTCTAGAGGGTGAGTGTGAGGCAGCGGGAGGAGGCGCCCCCAGTCTCTGAGAGGGGCTGTGCGGCCCTGAGGCGGGCAGGCAGGTGCCAGCCGGCTAGCGCGTGCCGGCCGTGGGGGTGGGTGGCTTGTGACATCGGAGCCATGGTGGGGACCGCATCGTGTGCTGAGGATTTGGGCTCCCTCTGGGCAGCCTTTGAAGGCGTTTAGCCTGGCTGTGCTGGGGTTGTGTGGTTGTCTCCATCTGGTTCTTCCCCAGAGCTTTTTGATATTGAAATCGTGGCTTTGCCAGCACTGAACGGTTCACTGTACCCGACTCCCACCCCCGCCCCCAGTGAACATAAGACCACAGACCACAGGCAGCAAAGCCAGGGCCGGGGGAGACGGGAGGTAGCCGCGGGGCCCACCCACTGACCCCATGGCTCACCTCCTCCTATGCAGCCCCCAGACCAGTTGAGATGCACGCTTAAGCAGTACGACAAGTGACTGCAAGTCCCTCTACTGCAAGACACAGTGATTTTGCTACACTGTGTCTGGGGAGAGAGTCCTATAGGTGGGGTCCCCGGAAGGAGGTGGAGAGAGGGAAGACTTAAAGGGAGGCCTTTGTCAGTGAAAGGCTGCAAAGCAGGCGCTCGGACGTTCTGCTCAGACATTTGGCCGGGGCTCTACTTCAGACCCAGCGGAGGTGGAGATGAAGGTGGCCATGAGGGAGACCCAGAGAGTCACACGGAGGACGTGGTGGCCTCTGCGGCCCGTTCCCAGGTGCTGAGGCTCTGGGAGTTCACACAAGGGCTTCTCGGTAAGAGCTTCATTTGGAGATCAGCCGTTTCACAGACCGCCAACCCCTGGCCTGTGGGTCGCGGGAGACCCCATGGGATGCTCTTTTATTACGGAAGCTGCAGAGGCAAGTGTCCTGGACGGGAAATACGGAATCCAGGGTGTGAATCCTCACTCGGCCCCTGAGACGCTGTGTCCTAAGGAGGAGCTTCTGTTTTCTTCTTGTAAATGGTGCAAAGTTGAAATGAATGCTCTCTGAAATCTATCTGGGCACCAGCATTTTACATCTCCAGCCCACTCCTGACGGGCAGTGGGGGCTCACGATGAGGGGTGGGCAGGGCAACGTTTGGGGGAGCGTCTTATGAGCCTGGGCCCGGGGTCTCTGGGAGACGGAGATGCACAGGCAATGGGCTGCTGCTGTGAGCCCGTGTGACCGCGCCCGCCTCTGACCCTGCAGGTGCACCCTCTGCTCCCGGGCACCTCCACCATCATGATCCACGACCTGTGCCTGGCCTTCCCGGCCCCCGCGAAGGCTGACGTTTACGTCTCGGACATTCAGGAGCTGTACGTCCGCGTGGTGGACAAGGTCAGTGTCGACTTCCTGATGCAGCTCCTTCCCCGCGGATGCGCAGAAGCCAGGAAAGCGGTGGGGCTGCGGGAGGGGTTTTCCTCGCGTCACGCACACACGCCTCCCAGGCTCTGGATCTTCATCCCGGCTGGCACCAGTGGACCCGGCTGGAAGCCTGGCTGGATGTTGCCCCCACATTGGCCCGAGCTCGGGAACCCTGTCCTCCGGCTGGGACGGGCTACGTACCTTGCTGAGCGTGAACTTTCTCCCCAGCGCGTGGGCTTTGATTCTCAGGAATTTCAGTGGCAAATGAGTAAAACATACCAATGCCGAGTGCTTTTGCCAAGTGAGTTCATATAGGCCTAGGCTGTTCTTCAGTGGAAAGAGGGCGTTTTTATTTCCCCAGTTGGCGCTGTCAGGTGCTGCCTTCCTGGGGCGAGAACGGCTGGGGACTCGGGGGCACTCACGCAGCTCTTCCCCTGAGAGCCGGCGTTCCCTCGGCCTCGGATGTCCCTCCTGGTCTGTGTCCCTGGTGATTTGCTGTCCAGACGTGAACTCTTCCACTAAGCGTTCCCCAAAGTTCTTACAGCGCGTATCCTGTTCTGCCAGGTGTGAGCTGCTGAGTCACGGAGCACTTGTTAAACTCCCTGTGTGCCTGTTGCTAGTCTAGGCGGTGGACAGGCTCGCCAACTGGATTGTTAGCTGTTTCTTTTAATTGAAGGAGAGTTGATTTACGGCGTTGCGTGAGTTCCCGGGGTGCAGCATGGTGGTTCAGTTACTCACGCGTATTCCTTTTCAGATGCTTTTCCATCGTAGGTTGTTGCGAGATGTTGAGTGTAGTTCCCTGTGCTGTGCGGTAAATCCTCGCTGTTCATCCATGTTCTGTATAGCAGTTTGTACCTGTTAACCCATGCTCCTGATCTAACCCTCTCCCAGACCGTTAGTTCTTAGGAGCGGGCCGTGTCATTTCTGCACCTTGGATACAGTAAGCACTTGATCAATTTTCGTCTGTTGATGGGCTGAGAGTCTGGAGGTCAGCCTAGGTCTGTGGGTCTGAGGTTGGTGATGCGTCTGCAGAGAGCCGCGTGGAACCCCAGGTGGTGGGCTCGGTCCCTCGAAGGCCACCCCGAGTCTCTGTCCCCTGCGATGTAGGTGGAGATTGGGAAGACGGTCAAAGCTTATGTGCGCGTTCTGGACTTTCGCAAGAAGCCTTTCCTGGCCAAGTACTTGACCTTCATGGACCTGAAGCTCCGGGCAGCCTCCCAGATCATCACGCTGGTGTGAGTCCTTGTTGGGGTCAGGGGTCAGAGGAGGGCATCTCGGGGCAGCACTGGGGGCACATCTCAGCCCCTCCCTCTGCTCCAGGGCCCTCAACGAGGCCCCAGATGACTACACCGCCACGTTCCGTGTCCACGGCGTGGCCATTGGCCAGACCAGTCTCACCGCAAGCGTGACCGATAAAGCTGGGCAGAGAATCAACTCAGCCCCACAGCAGATCGAGGTAAAGCTGTCTGTCTTCATGTCTCGTGGGACGCCCAGCCCCTGCTGCATGTTGGGGTGGGGCAGGGGGAGCAGGGCTTTCTGTCATGGGCTCGGGGTCTAGGGACAGTCCAGGAAGGCACGTGGAGAGGCCATACTAAACTCCACCCTGCGGAGCCATCTGGCTAACAGAGGGCCTCCGCCAGTCCTGGGGGTCCAGGGGCAGCAGGAGGGAGGGCACCGGGTAACTTTGCTCTCTCTGGGAGGCAGAGGGGCGTGGTGTGTCAGAGGGGAGAGGGGACTTGTCTCAGGACAAGGGAGGGGCCGAGCAGTCTTTAACCCCTGATGTGCTGGAAAGCAGTGGCTGGTGGAGCTGCGGGCGGATGTGGGCGTGTGTGGAAGCACGTCGACAGCCGGGGGGCCTTGGAAGTGGTGGGCTCCTTGCAGGGCTCCTGGGGCAGCAGGCCCCAGACGAGGGCGCTCCGGGGGCCGGCACCTCTCAGCGTGTGGCTTGGTGCCCGCACAGCCTGAGGTGTTGGCAGGAGCCGAGCATGGCAGGGCTCAGAAGGCGCGTCCAAGTTCATCCCTCAGTGGCAGCGCTGGGCGGCTCCTGCCGCGTCCTCCGCAGTCTCTGCCACGTGGGGCTGGTGGGCTCTGGGTCAGTCTGTGTTCTGAAGCCGTGGGTGTGGGTTGTGCTTCTGCCCTTCTCTTGGTGAGGAGAAAGTCACTTCTGACTATAAACGGCACAGCCCTGCAGAGACATCCTCGCACACAAGGCAGCCCTTTGGCCGGCTGGCGCGTTCTTTGACGTTTCTGTGCTGCTGCGAAGTGAGCATTGTAGGGGTGCCGGGGGGTTGCAGGGTGCAGGAGGAGGACGCTGGGGCTTTGCCCTGCTGCAGAGACCCGGGCCTCGTCATCCCTGCCCCCGCGTCCGGCGTTCCCCACCTGAAGCAGAGAACTATTCTAAGGCAATTTGTCAGTAGAAATTTGGAGACGTTTAGTGAAAGAGGCAACCTTCCAAAGGAGCTGGGGACGTCTCGCAGTGGATTGGAAACCGTGGCGCGCGTCAGAATCTCGTGGAGGGCTCATTAAAAGGCGGATCGCAGGGCCGCGTCTCTGACCCGCAGCTCCGAGGCAGGCCGGGGAGCGGGCATTTGCACCACGTCCCAGGTGGCATCCACACCAGCAGAACATGCCCCCGTGAACCGCAGATCCTCGGGCCCAGGGGTGGGCTGAGGTCTCGTGGGACCTCTTGGCCCCTCAGAGTCGGCCGGGACCCCAGGCCCCCGCCAGCCCCTCCTCAGAGAGTCAGAGTCATGCACTGTGCCTCCCTGTCTCCAGAGCCATGGAGCGTGACTGCCCGTCTGCGTGAGCTTGGAACACAACCAGCCCCCCTCTCTCTCGTGTCTCCACATGCAGGTCTTCCCCCCATTTAGGCTGATACCCAGGAAGGTGACGCTGATTATCGGGGCCACGATGCAGGTGGGTGCCCAAGGCCACATCCCCCCTACCGCGGCCAGCCTTTTGCCATGACCCCTCGGAGCCCCTCGAACGGACTAAGGGTGGGCGCTCTGGGGTGTTGGCGCCCTTGTCTCTTGAGAACGAGGTGGGGGCCGGCCGAGGGGGCGGGCTGACGGGCACTGCTGCTTCTCCCCATCCAGGTCACCTCCGAGGGCGGCCCCCAGCCTCAGTCCAACATCCTCTTCTCCATCAGCAACGGGAGCGTGGCGGAGGTGAACGGCGCCGGGCTGGTACGGGGGCTCGCCGTGGGCAACGGCACCGTGTCCGGGGTCGTGCAGGCCGTGGACGCCGAGACCGGCAAGCTCGTCACCGTATCGCAGGTAACGGCGGGGGCTGCACTGGACGCGGGGCCTCAGGCAGCTGGCAGGGCTGGTCAGCATGATGGGGGGAAGCCCCGTTACTGGGTTCGGGCTCTGCCCCGAGGACCGCCCCTCCCTGAGGGTCTTGCTTGAGTCAGAAGCCCCTGCTTGTCGCCCGCCCACATCGGGACCGGCCGTGCCCTCGCACCCCAGAGGTTGTCCTTCTCCGGGCTGAGGGTCCCCGGCTGCTCCTTAGGGGACAGGGTCCCGAAGCCCCCCGCCCAGGGGGCATTCCCGTGCAGAGTGATGGTGGCAGTTGTGACAGCAGACGCTGCTCTAGTCCCACCTCCTCTAGTCCCCCAGCGCCGTCCGCTCGGCCTGTCGGTGGATGCTGGGCCCAAGGGCTGAGCTGGTGCCCTCGGCCTCTCTGCAGCTGTTCTCGGACCTGCCCGAGTATTGCTGACATCAGAGCCTCCGTCCTTCCCTTCGTTCGTTTCAGGCAGGGCTTGGAGATGCTCTCGTAGAAGAGAAGGGGGTGCTGTTGGCTCTGACAGGCTTTGTGGGTTACGTGTGTGTTTTCGGAGGTGTGCGCTGGCTTGGCTGCCGTGAACAAGGACAGCTGGACACCAGCAGCTTTTCAGACCTGGGTTTATATTTCCAGGAGAAAAGGAAACCCTGACCCTGCACCAGACTCTGCTCAGCTGGAGGTTGTCTCCCAGGCCTCCTCTCTGGGTGGGGGGGGCGTTTCCTAACTGCATCTCAGTCAGCAGAGATGCTGGAGGGTCCCCTGCCCCCCGTTGGTGGCATTGACTCCCAGCAGGCGAAAGCTGGGGTCTCTAAGTCTGACCGCTTCCTTCTTTCCCGGGGGTGGCACTTCTGTGGGCCTCTGGAAGGAGAGGGCAGAGCACGGCCTTGTCCCGAGAAGGACTCCGGGCGCTTGGACTCTGCCCCATGTCCTTTGCCCGCGGTGACTTGAAGCATCTGCTCTGTGGTCAGTGCCACCCTGGAAAACTGGCTCTAAGAAACGTTTTGTTTCGTGCAATGTGACTGGTCAGGAGCCTTTTCAGAGCCCAGTCGTCCCATTGGTTGTCCAGAATTGGGCCCCTGAAAGCGGTCCCGAAATGCCGCCGCGTCCAGAGCGTCTGAACGCACAGCGCGGGGAGCTGGCGCCCGCTGCCCGGGAGAGGGGAGGCTGGCCCCGAGCCAGCACTGCGTTCGTTGATCTACTCCTTGTCCCAGCAAGGGCCTCGGGTAAACCGCAGAGCTCTTCTGGGTTGCGGGGCTGGGTACCCAGAGTCTGCCTGTCCTAAGGAGACAATAACTACCTGCATGTGAGGCTTGTCCCTGGCTGCCCACGGGGCTCAGAGAGACGCCCTGGAGAGTGGAACGAAGGCCCGAGGAGGCCCTGCTTTGTTTCCTTCTGAAGAAAGGGTTGCAGCCTCAGGAACCGGCCCGTTTTTCTCCCCCTGGGGGCCTACGTGGCTGAAATGGCAGCTGGCTGGAGAGTCGGCCTGAGGGGCACAGAGCCCGCAGTCCCTCCTGGCCACCGCTCCTCTCCGGGCTGACCTTTCTGGGCCACCTCTCTCCATGCGCCTCCGTCTGGAGGGCTGGGGGAGGGGCTGGGGCCGGGCCCTGGTTCACCTTAACAGATGGAGGGGCTGCACCCCCAGCTGCATCTGAAAGGCGCCTCCTTGAGCCCAGGCAGGCAGGCACTCCGCCCGAGGTCCGTGTGTCCACAGAGAGCATGTGATTCTGGTCCGAAGCTCACAGCTCTATCTGCAGTCCAGGTCACCCTAAGAATTAGCTCCCAAGGCAGAGGAGATGGTCCAGGAATGGCAGGAGGAGACTGAGCAGTGAGAAGGATGAAGGGAAGGAAGGGAATGGATGCTTGCTGAGCACCTCCTGTGTGCCAGGAGTTAGCCCAGGTCACAAGGCGCAGGAGGTGGGCTCACAGGAGCATGTGTGAAAGGGGCCTAATGGTTTTGGTAGTGTAGATTCAGCAGCACTGCCAAGAAGCCAGTAAAGTTAGTCTTTGGCCAGATTAATAGGAGTATGGAGTTCAGAATGAAGGAGGGTATAAGGTCTGTTCTAACCACACTCTGCATGGCTCCTGCATTAGTTCCTGTAACTGCTCAGAGACCAACAGGCTGGATTTAGGGTTGGGAGAGTTGGAAGCCTGTCCTGTGAGGGCTGCCTGGCCTGGAGAACAGTCCCTGCTCAGTATCCCCACATTTCTGCAGCGCTGACCTGGAGCATCTGGGTAGGACAGGTCTGTAGGCTCAGAGGACCAGGCTGGCGCCCCCAGGGGCAGCAGAGAGGCAGCAGCCAGGTCCAGATGAGGCAAGCGACCCAAAGAGCCAGGCCTCCCCAGAAAGAGAAGCATCATGCGGGAACTCCTGTGGCGCCTTCTAGCCACGTGACTCTGAGCCGGCCTCAGCAGAAGCCTCCTTGGTTGGAGGGGTCCCTTCCCGATACTCCCGTTGTAGCACGCGGCCCTCACCCCCAGCCCGCCTGAGCCCCAAGCCCTTTTCCTAGGATCTCGTGGAAGTGGAGGTGCTGCTTCTCCAGGCGGTGAGGATCCGCGCCCCCATCACTCGGATGAGGACAGGGACCCAGGTGAGGCGGGAACCTCTCCAGCCCCTCCCGTCTGTGCTCCCTGAGCAGCCCCTCGGCAGGTGTCAGGCTCGGGGTTCTAGCTCATGGGGAGCTTGGGGGCTGCTGTCAGGATGCCGTTCTTCCTGCTGGAGCAGTCCCCCATGCCCTTCACCTGCTCAGCCCTGTTCACCTGCGGGGTCCGGCTTCACTTCTCTGCTTTCCTGCTGCAGAAGGCAGCCTGGCGTTCTCTCCCCGGGTCCCTCGCCCCTTTGACACGGGCACTTGCCGTGCAGTCCTGTGTGGGCTCAGACAGTGAGCGGGGTCTGCGTCCCCACTAGCCTGCCGCCTTCCCACATCTAGAGCAGCGCCTGGCACCTCCCAGGGGCAAACATCCGCATGGCGCGTCCTCTTCAAGGCGCTTTCTGGATGTTACTCTGCGCGGTGTCTGGACAGCCCTGCGAGGTAGCTCCCGGGTCGTCTCCACGTCAGAGGAGGAGATGGCACCTGGAACGCTTTGGGCATCTGCCCAGGGCACACAGCCAGCCAGTGGCAGGACTGGGCACCGACTCGCAGCCTGGCTCAGAGCCTGTTTTCGCCTTTGGCTGCATCGTCCCCGTGTGTGCCCTCTGGATGGCACTTAGTAAGTTCAGGTTGTCGGAGACTGAATCCCACCCAGGCCTGCTGCTCGTGAGCAGGGGCTCCCGCTAGACTGAGAGAGGTGAGCAGGGTGAGCTGCCCTGCCAGGGGGGTGCAGGCGTCCCAGAGCCCTTGGGGGTCACCCAGGAATGGGATGTCTCAGCCAAGGTGCGACAGCCCATGGTCCAGGACGGACAGGGGGAGGGGCTGGTGCTGCCATCTGTCCCTTCCTCTGCTGTGTCATCATACCCCCCTGAACCTGTGCCGTGCCTGTCTCTCTCTCTCTGGGAAGACTGGGGCTCAGCTCCCGGTGCCCCACGGAGACAGGAAGGTACCAGGCTGTGCCCCAGGGCTTGTGGGGGCTCTGGCCGTGGGCTGCAGGGGTCACGGTCCTGGCTTCTCCCCGCAGATGCCTGTCTATGTCACTGGGATCAGCAACAACCAGAACCCTTTCTCCTTCGGGAACGCAGTGCCAGGGCTGACCTTCCACTGGTCTGTCACCAAGCGGGATGTCCTGGACATTCGGGGACGGCACCACGAGGTACCACCCGCCAGAGCCCTGCACCCTCCGTCCCAGGTGGCGTCGGGTGGGAGGGCTCTCACCATGTGTCTGCCCACGAGGCCCGCACGCCACACCCAGGCTGCCCTCTTGAGGCTCCCGACTCCTCCTCCCAAATCTGCCACCACCGTCCCTCCTGGGTGTCCCTCCCCAGGGTCCCTCCCCAGCCCTCGGTCCTGCTCGTGTCCAGGAGCACAGCTCTCAGCCCCTCTTCCTGAGGTTCCCCAGGACTGTCTGCAGCCTTCGCCTTTTAAAACACTTCTCTCTTTTTTTTGAAATACAGTCAGTTTACAATGTTGTGTCGATTTCTGGTGGACAGCATAATAGTTCACTCACACTTGCGAACCGACCACTGCAGAGGCCTTAGTACGGAACCTACTAACGGAAGGCAGCAAAAATGACAGCCTTGTGGGGAAGCCACGGATTTCCCGAATGTCTCAGGGTCTTGGTCGGGGTCCCCAGTCTGTAGTTTCTGACCCCCTTTCCAAGATGACGCCTGGCAGCCCTGGGGTTTTCTCCAGGTTTACCACAGGGCCCAGCCCTGTCCCCGGGGCCTCCCTAGGGGGTCCTCAGCCGCTGCCTGGTCTCAGCTGGCGGGCACTGCAGAGGTGGTGCTGCCCCGGTTCTGTGAGCTGGAGCCTGAGGAAGGGGCAGGGGAGGGTACCGGGGGGCCCAGCCAGGGGGGCTTGGTCACGCAGGACCGAGTGGGCTTTGTTCGGGGGGTTCTTCTTGTCTTGTCCATGGACAGTGGGGGTGGGGTCTGGGGAGGGCTCCAGGCATGGGGTGGCGTCTTCTAGAGGCTGCCCGAAGCTCGTCCGATGCATGACCAGCACCTCCCCCGCCCACTCGGTGGGATCAAAGTCCTGTCCTCAGTTCGGAGGAGCTTCCCCAGACTATTCCCATGGTACCCAGGCGCGTGACTTGTTCACAGACATCCTGTCATGGGGGCTCTGCAGGGAAGCACCCACGCCTAGAGTTTCCTTCGTGATTTGTCAAGGCTCTGAGAAGTCCTGTGTGAGGAGGCTGGCTAGTGTGGCTTGGCCCTGCATCTTCTGCAGGCCCCCGTGGATGGTGTGAATTGCAGCGTGGGGTGCCCTGTGCTCATGCTGGGGTGACTGTGGGCTGCACTCCCGCGTTAGCAAGTCCTGACCTGAGCGGGAAGGCAGCGGGGTGAGAGCTGGCAGGCAGCCCAGGGGTCTGGGGCTCCTGTGGGCTCTGCCCTTTTGGGGAGCTGGGGCCCCGGGGTACCCCTGAAGTCATGTTTGGTGTCTGTTGCAGGCGTCGCTCCGGCTCCCGTCGCAGTACAACTTCGCCATGAATGTGCACGGCCGGGCCAAGGGCCGCACCGGCCTGAGGGTGGTGGTCAAGGCTCTGGACCCCACAGCCGGGCAGCTGCTGGGCCTCGCCAGAGAACTCTCTGACGAGATCCAAATCCAGGTAAAGGACAGGTGGGCAGAAATGGCCGTGAGCGGGGGAGTCGGTGCCAGCTCAGGGGCCCTGCGGGCACATGGCCATCCGTCTACCGCCCGGGGCTGGGGCTGGGGTGTGTGAGGTGCTGTGGGAGCCCAGACGTGACCTCAGGCTTCATGGAGGGGAGGGCCTGGCCAGCGGA